TGGAAAAAGCGTGGATGAGAGAAGCCGCGGGAGATATTGTTTCCGCGGCGTAGAGCGATTGCGTTCGATTTTACGGGACGCGGCAACTCGCGTGGAACGAATCTATTGTGCGAGAGGAGTTAAATCGTGTACCACCGTGGATTTAATATGCGCGAGTGCTAGGACCGTTTTCGAGTTGCACGTTACACTCCGCATACCGGTAACCTGCTATCAGCGTGTACCGGTCAATTTTAATCGGCCCGCCAGCCGGAACCCCCGGAAGCGAAAATGTCCGAAGTTTCACGTTTACATTCAACCCAACTGGAGGTTATCCACCGTCAAGACGTGCCCAGGGCGATTCAACTTGTAAATGCTTACACCGCGAACCACGTTTGTAAGATAAAAGAGCTATTCTGTTTCCTTTACGCTGAAATTATACGAGATATCGTTATATTATTTCACACAGTTTCCTCCGCAAATTTGTATAATGTATAACATACATACAAGTACATATGAGATATTTCAGGTATTTCATAAAATTCCATTTTTAAGAAATATGCATATTAATACTTGAAGTATTAGTTACTTTCCATTCACATCGAGTCTCAGATTCTTATTTGTGATGTCATAATTTAATTGAATGCGCGTTTCTTTTGCATTCTTATAAGTGAAATAATTAGTTGCATTCGAGAAAGACGAGACGAAAAAATACCAATACCGAGATTTAGATTTGACAAAAATAAATAATTGATATACAATTTTCTCGTCTCGATGGGCCGATATTCTCGCTTCTCAAGATTCCCGAATTTTATCTCGAGACATTTATCTCGTTTCATTTATTTGAAATATTTATATAATCAGGCAGCACATTATATAATTATAATACTGTCATAAGGACATCGAGACAAGATGAGAGAAGGCGAGACAAGAAAAACAAATGACACATGATAATCTCGGAAATATTTCTTTTAATAGCACGAAACATTCTAAGACAATATTCCGAGATTCTCGTATCGAAACGCATTACTAATTGAAATTCAACTAAGTTTTTACCTGTAATCTGTACAAGATCGAGACTGTGTGCTTTTTAGTGAGTCTCGTAAACTCACTTCAAAGTGAGGTTATGAAGCTGTGTTAACATGTGATAACTTTTTACCAAAGTGAGCAAGTAACGCTATTAATCTGACTGAGTATAAAATACTCAGCTCACTTCACTCAGTTTCACTTGTGTAAATGGAAAGCAACTATTGTTGCCAACTGCTGCAATTCTCTCGCTGCGCTTACTTCAGAACGGCTGTCAGGTCATCGCAAATTTTGATACTTTGGTGTACCGAGAAGTTTTAGTATAATAATAAGTGTAACATTAATCCTCCGTTGGTAAGGTTGAAATAAAAATAATCCCACTAGTCAAAGCGTTTTTGTTTAATTTAAAGTATAAATTTGTTAAGTATAAACATATAAAACTGTATTTTTATCTATAAATTTTATCTATAAACATAGAATAAAGTTTTATGTTACTCTTTACTTCCTTCTTCCATTTTGTTCCACATTAATTAGATGAAAAATAAGCATAAGATCGAATCGATCATACCGGATACGTTCTAAAAAAGTTCACCAACGGAAAGTTAATTTTATGCATTTAAAGGGATCTTAATGTGACAGAATTATCGACATCATAAATTAGAAAGTTCCTCAAATTGGTACAAATTGCAAAATCTTTTTACACAATTAAGGAGATACTGACGTGACTGAACTCCGACGGAACCGTCGTTTTATCAACTTATACACATCATGTGATAGAAAAAAAATAAGATGCATCATTCTAATGAATATGCACTCGTCCATAATAATCAGAAATAGTCGCTAAAAAGCAATGTGGCTGCTAATAGTTGACGCTACGTCAACTGTCATTTTAAATTTGCAGTTGTATTTGTGACTATTAACTATTGATTGGCTGCCTCCACACTGCTGCTGCTTCATTATTATACGCAATAATACATCTTGTTTTCCTTCATCACGTGATTTACAATACATGTTGCGTAGAGCTCTAAATAAACGTGCACGTCAATCCGAAATCGTGGTCGGACCAAATCAATCGATCACACGCTCGCATACACGTGTATGGACTTGTATGGTGAGAGTCGGCATTTCAAGAAGAAAAAACGCGGTATCGGCACAGACCAGAGCAATGGTCGGCGCCAAGATCATTAATCCGCTTGTGATTGTCCGAAGCGCCGCCGCCGCCGCTAATCGTGATCTCCATGTTTTCGGAAATACCAATCAAGAGAAAGATCGAGGGCCCGTGGGAGCGTCGTGGCGACGTGGAGATACCTATTCGATCAAGAACCGAGCAAGAGTGCGGATCGTATACGAATTCGGATTGAGTCTAAGTCCCAGAACGTTTTACGTGCGTGATCGCGACTCAGGGTTACCCCCTAGGCGTCGTCACGAATATAGTCCAGCCATGGATTATATGTTAGTGACTCAGGGTGACTCGACATCACCCCCAGGCGTTGTCCGAAGGGCGATTCAGGGATTCGAATTCCCTTCGAGAAATCGCCATCTTAAATACGTAATAATATAAGCCATAGAGACAGCAAAACTCTATTCTTTAAGCGTTGCTTGATATATGTGATTTATACTTGATTTAATTAAACATTATTCATAAACGAAAACACAGTGTGAGATGTTAGTGTTGTCACCCTGAACCACGAAACAATACATACGATTTACAAAACATCGATATAAATCTACTTCTACATCACTATTACGTGCACACAAAATTTTCACACAGTTTTTTTTATCTTATATTAAAGCTCCTAGATTTATTTCTAAAAGTACAGTATTGTTCTTTCATATAATCCCTAATCCGGACGAAGTTTGTTTTTTTTTTTTATACATACGAAGCATAAAACTTTTATATGAAGCATACGTATATGTTGTTACGAGTCGACCAAAAATTGATAACAAAACTATAATTTTCCCATTTTTTTCGTTTTTCATGTAAAATCGTGCAGTTCGAACGTTATTGTCTATATTTTAATTCTGGAGATGGATTTTCAAACTGTAAAAGTAATGCACGGAAAATTGGTATAGAAATTATTGCATTCGATCGATAAAGTATAATATTATAGATGACGTCAGTAATTTCTTTAAAGATAAAGATATTCATAAAAAAGGTATAAAATGAGAACATCGAAAAAAGTTGAAAAATTACACATACCAAATGCGATGTTTTTAATTTTTTCGATTTTTTTCTCGTTAAATCGATCTCTTCTTTTGTTCCTATTTTAATTGCGTAAAAGAATTTTGCAATTTTTATAACCAATTTGGAAAACTTCCTAAATAAATGTTAATAATTCCATCACTTTAGGATACCTTAAATATTCAAACCAAATGTAATAAAAAAAAAAAAATCAGAGGCTAAATAACACGCGCGAAGCGCGCATCTGTCTAGTGTTAAAAGATAAAAAAAGACATGTTTTTTTAATGTACGTGCAGCACCATTCCTCCGCTCGTTATTATTTCACGGTACATTTCATACATTAATTAAATATTTTTTGTCATAACGCAACATCGTAAGATATATACGGTACAGTTAAATTTGATATTTGAAACCTAATAATTTAATACAAGATTTACTGATGTTTCCACTTAAATACCACAATGACATATACGTAATGTTTCCCTTAAATTAAGCACACGACATTTACTCAACATTCGTCTAAATTATTCGTCGAAATTCCATCATAATTCATTCGTCGC